AAAATGTGAATACAAAGAAGAAAGGACACACTTTTTCCAAAAAAAATAAATAAATAAATAAATAAATAAAAAAAGGACGCTACACATAGCTAAATATGGCCATGTCCCAACATTTGAGATGCGTTGTTGACATCGAATTCAAAATTATTGTGGGTGGGTTTGCCATGTTTGGCAAACACGCATATCATTCGTTTTTATTTAGATTTCAACACAGGATCCCAAGGTTTGGGGGAATCGAGGTTGTATACTCTAGCCTTTCCTTCTCAATAGTATATCTATGCAAAGTGATTCTGGTCAACAAACTAACATCCAAAGGGACTTTTCAGAGTTTAATATTATAGTGCAAATAAGCATTCACAAACTTAAAATAGCACATTCTGTTACTTACCTTGCATTAGGAGATATGCTAACCAGGGGCTTGAAAGAGTCTTGAAGATACACCTCTATTGGAAATAAGAAAAGACAAATATGAATTTTGCCTTTAAGATATTACAAGTACATTATGTTACATATTAATAAAGGATTTTCACCTCTCCAGGTTTCAATTTTGTGCTCTTCCAACTCATATATCTGAACCTGAAAATTTACAATAAGTGAATGGAGGGATCAAGTAATGCAGAAACGAAGAGAAAGTGCATGTTTGACCAAAAATAAGGTCAAATATACATAAACTCCATCCACGGTTGTTTTAGTTAAGTTTGAGATTTAATTGGTTGCATCTATTCAGTGTCTACATCTTACCAATGGAGATTTGTAATAGCGATGAAGAATGTTAATGAAGTCTGTGATGGTTAGCATACCTGCAGAGCAGAAACAGGAGTCCATTATTATTCAACTTCTTTTTTTTTTTTAGTGCAACAGAGCCAAATGAAAGTTACTCTTACCAACGAAACACTGCTTCTTGCTATCCCATAAAGGCGCAGCTCGCACCCCGTTAGAAACAAGAGCAAAAAAGGCCTTTTTCACCTGAGGATGAATTGCACAACAGATTAAAGCTATACTAGATCATGAAAAATATATGTATTTAATTTAGGGCTTTTGTTTTACCTGAAGTGATGTATCAAACACAACTAATTTGGAGCTGGTGGGCACAAGGTCATAACAACGATGGGACTTCATAAACCTGGTGTACACATTGTGTTCTGGATCTACAGGAATGAGAATCAGCTGTCACTATTTTCTAAAAATAACTGTTTCCCAGCATGACAGACTGTGTTGCAAGCCCCTTACCTTCAATGACTGGGTCCTTCTTGCTCTCAAGATCATCAATAGTTACTGGAATCTGAAAGATAACGTTTATATCACCAAATGAAGTAATATTTTTTGGTTGCGTTCTATTATATCACACCAATATTGCTCTGACACTACAACACTTTATTTTATACATTTTAATATTTACAATTTTTGGGGCACAAAAGAGATACATCCATACAAAGCATTTCTAGAAATAACCTGATATTTCTAGAAGTGGTTATTTCTAGAAAAATGGTTGTGTTTATGTAAAGTTTCGCAACCTGATATATTGGGTAAGATGTGGGAATGTCTGTTTTTGACATGCACGACAAAGTCAGATCTGAAGTTTATTGTTTGTTTTAAAGAAGTTTATCGTAGCTGATGTCGGAAAAAAAGTTTAAAGACCGTAAGAAGTACAGCCCAATGAGTCCTCTGATAAACGTGTATTCACTGGAAGTGTCGCTGACAGGTCAGCTGTTTCCAGAGGAGTCATGAAAACCACGAAAATGTGAACAGTTTCATTGTTTATGACTTGACTCTGAGACGTGGGTAACTGTACTTTAACACCGAGCCATAGACTGCACTTAAGCAGCTGGCTAAACATCAAACAGTATAACTTTGCAGTCAAATAAGATCCTCTGTAATTAGTGAGATAATTTTGTGATTTCTAGGTGTCCAAAAAGACTCGGTTACACTGACAAGTAACGAAACTTTGGAAAATAAATAAATACTATAACAGAAAGGTTAGCGGAGTATTACCTAGCCTGTCAGTCAGTTGACATTACTGAGCCTGTCGAGGTGACTTTCTACTTACGCTAAGGCTCTTAAGCTGCGTCATTATGTCGCGTATTGTTACATTTTACTGGTAATTGTGACAGGTACCGGGACTGATAATTATATCCGTTTTCCTGACAACTGACTAAGTGCAATAATAAGCGGGTTGGCCCCAACGACCACTCCACCAAGAATTTGCTCGCTAGCTAGCTTGTACCGTTAGCATGCTTCAAAAAGTCGGGTAAGTTCATTTGGTTTAAACGTGAGAAAGCTGGGTGGAAAACCTCTCTGTATATGCAAGCTACTAACTTACACACTCCATGTTCCATTCGCTGATTCGCTTCTCTGTAGCCGGTTTCGTGTGCAGCTCTCCAAACCTCGAAGGTCTTCCGCTAACTAACTAACAACGATCAGCATGAATGGTTGTGTTGTCTCTGCCGTAATTGCCGTAATATTGCCGCACTCCAGGGATGTCATTTTAGCTCTGAAGCAGGTAGCGCTCAGGAGTAAAGAATTTGTAGTTTGTTTTATTATTGTGTAAATAAAAAAGCGTTTAGGAGTCCTATGGAATATTACTTTTAAGGAAAACTGAAAAATTCCCCAACTATTTAGAGTTACTCTGTTGTCTTGGAACTCTTGCATTCAGATGCTACGTAAAGTTTGGTTGAACAAAAAAAAGTTAACGCTTAAGAAAATCTTCTCTAGTGCTTTTTGGCTCAGACAACTTAAAAAAAAAGGTTTTGGTTGATAAGGTATATTCAGGTATATACAGTAATATGTGGGACTCAGCCACTATTGAGCAGTATGAAGATGGGAAATTGGGGACATTGGTAAATATTGAAAAAACTGGCTGAGAAAATACGTGAGTCTTCTCAGTTTCAGTTTCAGAGCAGAATAATTAGAAGCAGCATAACCTCTAACATATAACAATAATACTATATAATAAAAGAAGAAAGTAGACTATACACGTCACAAGCATCTCTCTCTCTCACACACACACACGTACAGGATGGGCCATTTATATGGATACACCGTAATAAAACGGGAGTGGTTGGTGATATTAAAGTCCTGTTTGTGGCACATTAGTATATGTGAGGGGGCAAACTCCTCAAGATGGGTGGTGACCATGGTGGCCATTTAGAACTCGGCCATCTTGGATACAACTTTTGTTTTTTTTCAATAGGAAGAGGGCCATGTGACACATCAGACTTATTGGTAATGTCACAAGAAAAACAATGGTGTGCTTGGTTTCATCCAGTATCCGTAGTTTCAGGTGCTATACATCTCGTATCTTCACACCATAGACAATTGCCTTCACATGACCCCAAAGATAAAAGTCTAAGGGGGTCAGATCGGGAGACCTTGGGGGCCATTCAACTGGCCCACGACGACCAATCCACTTTCCAGGAAACTGTTCATCTAGGAATGCTCGGCCCTGGCACCCGTAATGTAGTGGTGCACCATCTTCTGGAAAATCTCAGGGAACGTGCCAGCTTCAGTGCATAAAGAGGGAAACACATCATCATGTAGCAATTTCAAATATCCAGCGGCCTTGAGGTTTCCATTGATGAAGAATGGACCCACTATCGTTGTACCCCATATACCACACCAAACCATCACTTTTGTTGTTCCAACAGTCTTGGAGGGATCCATCCAATGTGGGTTAGTGTCAGACCAATAGCGGTGGTTTTGTTTGTTAACTTCACCGTTCACATAAAAGTTTGCCTCATCACTGAACAAAATCTTCTGCATGAACTGAGGGTCCTGTTCCAATTTTTGTTTTGCCCATTCTGCAAATTCTGTGTGCCGATCTGGGTCATCCTCGTTGAGATGCTGCAGCAGCTGGAGTTTGTAAGGGTGCCATTTGTGAGTAGCTAATATCCGCCGAAGGATGTTCGACTAATGCCACTCTCCAGTGACATGCGACAAGTGCTACACTGTGGGCTCTTGCTGAATGAAACTAGGACAGCCACTGATGTTTCTTCATTAGTGACAGTTTTCTTGTGTCCACATTTTGGCAAATCAAACACGGAACCAGTTTCACGAAACTTAGCAAGCAGTTTGCTGACTGTAGCATGGGAGTTGAGTGGTCTCGTAGGGTGTCTTGCATTGAAATCTGCTGCAGTGACCCAGTTATATATATATATGCACAATTTTACACCTGATAACTGTTTTGCAGAGCAGTAGAAGCATCTCCCTTTATGAATATTATCAGAAATACCACCAGTATCTCTTTTATAAGGCAAAAACAATGTGACTTAATTGCAGTTTTTGGAAAAATACAATTTTGATTTGACTCAAATATAATGCCAGTACTAACTACCAGTACCATTTATTTTCAAATAATATAAATATGGCTATTTTACAGGACACTGAAAACCCAAATCACACCTCTAAATTTCTAAAAAAAAAACAAAAGAAAAAAAAAACCTTTACTACACTGAACTCAATAAATTTCCTTACTTCCTTCTCTTTGTATTTTCCACAGTGATTTATTTCTTCCTCATTAATAGCTGAACTTTTATCTGGTGAGACTTCTGCACTTTATCTCCATCATCTGTATCACATAAACAAAGAACTACACGCAACTTAAATCCCATAGCTTTATTATTATTTGTGATTTTTTTTTTTAAAGAAAGTATGTCAATATGAATATTTAACATGATTTCAAAACTGAAAAAGAACCCCTTTTTATGCATTTAGTTTAAGTAGCTTTGGGAATCACTATAGAACAACAACAAAAAACCCCAATTGGAATCATCTGCTAACAGCAAAAAATTTTCATCACATATATCACCAATATAATCAATATTCACAATATTAAGGATGCTCTAATATATTGGTATCTGCATATAATTGTCCTATTGACCATCATCGGCCTGTTAAATAATACTAGATGGACTGATGTCAGCAGTTAGTTTCTCTATTGAGTAACATCAAATTTGAATGGGTAGAGTACTCAAATCTTGTAGTAAAGGGCAATAAAACTTAAAATAAAATAAAAAAATTTCTTGTACAAAAAGCAGATTTAATAAAACTAATTTCACAAGCTAAGTTCCAAAAAAAGGGGGGGGGGGGCAAAGTCATCAGGCACATCAGATGAGTAACAGATTTATTTATATACAAAACTGTTTACAGCAAGATTTCTGAATCAACATTGACCCATAGGGAAATATTGGTGTTCAGGTGTACGACACCTACACCCAAGGTGTCAAGTTAACAGAAGGGGGGAAAAATACTTTTAAGAGCACCTTGAGTCATGAAAGGAAGCAGATGAGGGAGTTTGAACAACAGTAAGGCACAAGACACAGCATCACCAGCTTCTGTTCAACCATCGTCATCAATTTGCAGCTATTCATTCAGCACAGCACTTGATAAAAAGTTACAATTAACCACTAAAGGTACAACATCGGGATTATGGGGAGAAGCTCCACAGTTTGTCACATATTCATAAGGCTACAGATTCTATGAGGAAAAACAAAAAAAACACATCATCATTAAGGACCTCAAGTATCTGACTGCAACCATGCAAGTCCACAGTTTGAATTCAGTGGACTGCATACCATACTGACTTGGCTTTATCGAACCCACAGGAACCATCAAATCAAAACCACCAGATCAAAAAAGATAATAATAAATTCTAAGCTAACTCAGGCATTTTGCCACTTAACCTTACACAATGTTAAAAAGTATTTAAAAAAAAACCCTCAATGTTCATAATTAACAATGCACATATATGCATAAACTCTACTTAGGATATTTAAGAGAGCAAAACTGCATCACTCAAGAGATAACCAATGATACCAAAAACCAATTTCTAAGATTAAATTTTTATTTTATTTTATTTTTTTAAAAAGGCCATAAGTGGTAAATAGCAAAGATCTACTCAAATCTATCCTAAATCTCTCTGAGTGCTGTCCATAACATCTTTATTACAGTTAATCAGAAATTAAAATGTAGAAACAATGACAGTCTGTTTATCAGAACCTAAGATGTGAGTTGTCAAATATTTGAATATATAACAGACTTCTCTTGTCATAAAGATACAGCCCCACAGTTCATTAGTGAAAGGTACCTGAAGATGAGGAGACAAAGTTATTACAGTGAGGACTGTGAAACCACAGTGGGATATCTAATGTACAATGTCAGTATAGGCTATCCAAAGAAACCCACCATTTGTAAGAAACAATAACACTTTAACACCACATTTAAAGCAATGTGAACTGCGACTCTGCATCGATGCCAAAAAAGACCAGCTGAAGTAATACACCAGTCCTCGGAAAGACCATTAACCAGCCATCACTGGAGAGTAATAAGGCATATGCCAGTGATTTCTCAAAGATTAGGGGGGAAATGATGCAATCAACATGAAGCAACAAATCTGAATGTCTAATTTTGTTTTCCGAGGATTTTGCTCAACTCAACTCAAAAAAAAGAAAAAAAGAAAAAAGAAAAATCAAGATTATGCCCAGACGTAGCTTACATTTCAATATTGGAAGGTGGTGTTCATCGAAGATGCTGCTTTGTTTAAAACAGAGTTTAATCCTTGTCTTAGAAACTTCTGTCTCAGTTTCTCAACTGTCTGAGCAGTTGCTTTGCTATGTAAATTAATCTAACATCACAATGAAGCAGAAAAGTTCCACCGCTGTGTCTTGGTGTCGGTGAGGTCACGATTGGCAAGCTGGTGAAGTTGTGCCTCCTGTCTTCAGTAAGTTAGCTTACTGATGTGTTGGATACACTTTCACATCACAATGCACTTCTTCTCCTCTGGGGGAGCATTGCCATCAGCTTTCTCCATCTCCAAAATGATCCGCTTGAAAACCTCCACAGCAGTCTGCATCGCAAGAATGTTGCCATTAGAGTGTTAATGTTCTCAGAAATTAATGTGGACTCGCTAGCATTCAGAGTTAGCATTCAATAAGATATTTCTCACTACCTCGTTTTCCTTGGCTGAGGACTCCATGAATGCAGCACCCCAGGAATCAGCAAGTTTTTTTCCCTCCTCTGGCTTGATAACCCTGAAAGGAAAAAAAACAAAACAAAACAACAACAAGCAAAACAAACAAACAAACAAAAATAAATACATAAATATTAGAATATTAAAAACAAAAAGGTGCCATTGGTACAGTTACCATTCTACTAAGATATATTTTTTACACTTTCCGAAATCTGGATTACCTTTCCATATGGAGATCTTTTTTGTTCCCTACAAGAACAGTTGGGACCCTAAAAAGACAAAAGCCTGATTGTATTAAACATAACTTAAAGAGAAAAAAAAAAAAGAAAAGAAAAGGGAACAAAAAGACAACATAGAAAATATTGAAATTTAAAGAACCAGCTAAACTTACTGAATCTTCCCAACCATGTCTAGCAGTTTATCATGTAGAACCTGCACAACTTCAAAACTGAACAGAAAGATATTTCAGCATGTGAGACACTGATCAGACAGTAGATTTAACATACATCTTATGTATCTATAATTTATCACAATAAACATTTTGTACAAAAAAAACCTAAAACAAAAAAAAAACAAAAAACTACAGCCTGGAAAATTATAATAAAGTGGATTTGATTGAAAAACACTTTATGACAGTAAGAAAAAAGAGAATATAACATGACTGCAAAAAATAAGGGTAAAAAAAAGACTACACTTGTGTTTTCTGATTAGTGTATTATCAGCTTCCCTCGGAGGCTATATCTGAAAATATGTCAAATCACAGTGTTGGTATGATTTTCTAGAAACATAAAGCATGGCAGTTGTAGTACAAAGAGTCTGGAAACCTGTGCTAGTGTATCCAAAATCAGTCCCAATCATCAACTCACCTCTTCATGGAAGTCACTGAATAGACAAGGACATAGCCATGGATGTCCATTGAGTGGGATTGTGGAAAAATTGAGTACTCATCCTACAGACAAGGGCAAATAAGACATCTGAGCACATGTTATGACATGGGCAAATTATCGACTGAAAAATGCTCGGCGTTAGTTTACATATTAACATAAACTACTTACTTGTCCAGCTGTATCAACTAGCTGAAGATTGAAGTCTTGACCATTCACACTGACCATTTTGTTAAAGGCTTTGTTAAAGGAAAGAAAGGTGAACTAGTTTTACAATTCAGTATATGCAATCAAACAGGAAAAAATGTCTTTGTTGTAACACTGTACCAAAAAAGAAAAAACTAATGGCAAACTTACTGTTTTCAATGGTGGGGTCATAGGAATCGACAAACTGCCCTTCCACAAACTGTATTGTAAGGGATGACTTTCCTGAGCGTTAAAAAATAAAATAAAAACATAAACAAACATTATGCAGTTAGTTACAATTATTCTGAGACATGATTTAAACAGCTTGTGCTTGTTGTTGATTTCTTGATCGTTTAAGCCTTTATATTGTAGATAAGTAATTTTAACACACTACAAATCCTACAAATTCTACAACCTGGTCAGGAATTTAAGATGTATTGCCACAGTAAATGTTTAACATAGTTATTTTAATGTCCAATTATAGTCCCCCTGTGGTGTCTAGATAAGCTAACATTACCAGGCCTCTGGAGAACTTCAGCACATGTTGGGGAGGTAATTTAGCCATTTGAATCAGCTGTGTTGGATCAAGAACACATCTAAAACCTGCAGGACACCGGCACTCGAGGCCTTGAGTTGCCTACCCCTGTAGACGTATCTGCTATACAACCATAAAATGCTGACATGTAGCATTCCTATGGGGTTATGTTCTGTTACAGCTATAAACGTTTTATGAGTATATACAAATTTTATGTAGGCATGTAAATGAATTTAGAATTATAATTTATCTAAGTATTGATGTGATAAAAGTTTTCACAGTGACAAAACTGATATTTCTCTGTAAAACACCTGCACATATTATAGTACAGTTTCTGAATCAGAACTGTAGATTATTTAATTATGGACATACAGAAAGAGAAACGTTTTTAAGTGCTATTTCAAAAGAACACAGTTTTAAAGGAAGTACTGTACAAAGTCTTAAATCTTAAAGATACTAACAATTAAGTTAAATTACATGTATATTTCTTTAAATACCAGAATTTTTACTTTTTAAAAAAAAATTCTAATTAGGTAATTAGGTTTAGTTTTCAGTTAGTGGGTTTGTTCATTTCAGTTTGGTTTTTATTATTTTAGTTTCATTTTTAGTTTCTGTGACAAATACTGATATTTCTCTGTAAAACACATGCACCTATTACTATACCGATGCTGATTCAAAACTGTAGTTGATTTATTTGTAGACTTTAAGAAAGAAACTCTCTTTCAAGAGTTTTGTTTTGTTTTTTTAAAACAACAGATTTTAAAAGGACATACTTTACACTCTCCTTTTTAATACAGACGCCGACACTTGTGTAAACAAAAAGTCACTAGGCCAGAACAACAAATTATGGCGCTTCATTGGTCACACAATGAGGTTTCATAATTTAAACTAATTTAAATAATACAATAAGAGGTTTATTCTTGTTGCAGATTGAGTTTCTTAAAATCTGGACGTTATGATTGACCTGCTAAACTAGAAGTTTGGAGTACACATTACTTGGCACTCCACCAGGTTATCCCCGGCTAAGTTTATTTTCACCGGTCACCTTTCATCTAGAAACGTGTGGATACAACTGTACAGCAACACTGGTTGACTTGAAGGTGCTTTAGTAGTTAATGTAGAAGAGAAAAAAAGAGCCCTGAGAAACAAAGGTAAGCTAGCGTTACTGTTGTACTTCGGATACGCTCACAAGGAAAACAAAGCCAGGACGTTAGCCTGTTACCCAAGCTAGCTGTGCAAGAGCTCGAACCTGTACTCACCTACAGACCGGTAACCTATAACGGCGATCTTTCTGTATTTCGGTTGAGGCATTGTAGTGAAAAACGGTGTTGAGTAGGTCTTTGAAAAATGTAGTACGCCACCTATATTTACTATCTAAGCAAACTTTTATCGCCACATTCGTCTCGCGTCACGTGACAACAACAAACTTTTTCGAGCCGCCGCTCGAGTTCTCCGCTGGGCCTCAAACTGGAACTGCAGAGTTTAGCTACCGTAAATACAGCTTATAGTCGTATAAAACTAAGCCCCTGCCTTCATCCAGTACATCATCGATTCTGGTGGGTATTCTGAAAGGATGTAACTGTCGTTTCAACCCAAAGTGGAAACGGGGAGGGGGGGAGGAAAAAAAAGCTGGTTCAACGCGGTCGCTGCTATCTGCAAGTCAAACTGACGGAAACTGTCATTGTGTAAGCACACCGTCGTAAAATCAGCCCACACGTCAGAGCGGCACGGGCCGTTTGCACAGCAGAGGTCACTCTTTGTACGTCCCAGCGTGTGCGTGACCACCATACTTACTTTTTTTTAGACTTTTCCAGACCGACCTTCAATGCACAGTACCCGGAGAAATGTCAGATAAAGCAGTGTTGATTTTCCAAGTTTCAGTGCAGACATGATTTTTTTTAGACTTAGGGGGCATTCTACAATTGGGGGACAATTTACTTAAAAAATAATAATAAGCAATAAATCAAAGGTAAACGTTTTATGATATATATTATTTGTTGTGTGCTATGCAATTTTAAAGATATTGTGTGGAGAGAGATTTGTAAGTAATTTTGGACCCGCTGAAGTCTAAAAGAAATTACTGTATCTCTGGCAAATACATACTCAGGACTGTTTAATAATATTTCATATGTTTTTAATAAATGTTTGTAATGTTTGTTTTATATGTATAGTACCAGAGTTGCATATCTGTGCTAGTTTTAGCGTTTTCTTGGAAAAAGATGTCAGCTGCAGAATGTGATGTAGTGTAAAAGTCGAGAATGAATTTGGGTAACATGTTAAAATGACACTCAGAAAAGATTGGGGAAAAATAAAAAATATGCCAAAGAGGACTGACTTTTGGTCTAGCCATGGTATTAGCACATGTCAACTCCTTTTTGTCATGTTGCTTACTTTTTTGTCTCTTCCTTTTCCAGGCCAAGTAGGTTTCAGGAAGTTGATTGCACACACGCTGTGGGAAACAATTTGCAGAATATAATTGTTGTTCTTTAAAATATGTTGATGTTGAATAAATGGTTTAAAAAATATAAGGGACATATGTGGATGAACAGAAATTGTGGATTTATATCTTATTTTAACTGTTATATTTGACATGGTTACCAAGAAGCTGGGATGAGAGAGGAGGAGTTATAGGTTTGGACTATTTAATTAGTTTTTAGGGAGGGTTTTTTTTTTTACTTTTTTTAAAATTATTATTCTTAATTCAGTTTAGTTTCAGTTAGTTTCATAGCAGGTTTGACCATTTGAGTTTAGTTTTTGTTGTTTGAAAATGTTCAGATTTTTTATTTATTTATTTAGTTAGTCAGTTTCAGTCTTTGTAAGTATTGTTTGGAGGGCATATGTGAGACGCACGATTTAGGAAAACTAGTATAACGTTCAGTCTTGTAGAACTCCAAGGTCTCAATAAACACATCCACCAAAGTGTCATCATAAGGAAGATTGTTTCCACCACTAATTAATATTTTTCCTGTAAGTTGATCAGGCTATCTAACGTGAAAATTGGATATAATAACTTGACATTTTTCACTTACTTCTTTTTGTTGTCGTTTTTCTTCAGTGGCAGAAACAAGCCTTAATATCACCACACATGTTGTAATAACAAATTTTACCAAACCAACAAATACTAAAACAACATTTCCTCTAAATGTTTTATTTCCTTTTGGTTTTTTCACAAAATAATTTCAGTTATTTTTAGTTTTTTTAAATCTTTTTTAAATGCATTTCATCAGCTTATAATGTATTTATTCAAAATATGAATCTCAAAGATAACCGCTAAAGGATATCATTTTAATACACTGGAAAAAACCACCCGATTTACCTTTTGTAAACACAGAGTATGTGGCAGGAAGAGAAAAGTACCCAGCTCTGATCCACAGCAGTAGTGGGAAAAGTATTATGATTCCTTGCTGAGTACAATTATCTGTATATTGATGCAAAACACATTTAAAAACAGTCTGATGGGAAGAGGAATCACTCATTGCTGGATCAGTGACTAAAACCTTTGCCCAGGTCTTTAAAACCTGTATGAGCACCACCGGGAAAATGTGCAAAAAAATTAGTGCTAGTGCCAGCTGCCACAAACATATATAATAAAACTGAAATAAAAAGAAACGTGTATTTAATTATTTATTTAGGCTGGGTTAAACAATGCCGCAGCGGAATACATTTATTTGAGTGACTTGTTTATATGTTCAGCTGAAGTCATAATCATGTTCTTTTTTTAAAAACGTATTCTCTAACAGTGAAGATGCATACCTCACCATTTAGTTATTTCGTTTAAGACAAGACATACTGGGAATTGATGGGATGAACCATCAGGAGCTGTAAAGAAATCTCTCTCCAGAAGAATGCAGTCCTAGGAACAGAAAGCATACTGCATAGAACCCACAGGCTTGGGATCTTAGCATCTGGTGTGTGTTAACACAATGCCATAATCTTCCCAGGAGTGGATGTGCTAGCAAATTCACGCCAAGGTCAAACCATGCAGTGCTCAGAAAAAATGCCAAAAAACCCCCAAGACTCACATCTTGGACTCCATATTCCTCAGTTAGCATGTAAATGATAAAGTTCATGACAGTACAATTAGAAAATGACTGAACAAGTATGACTTGTTTTTAAAGGGTTGCCATGAGAAACAATCTTCTCTCTTAAAAAAATATAGCAGCACAGCTAAGGTTTGCAAGGTTACTTTTGAAGAAACCATTAACAAAGAAATCTTGGGCTATTTGTAACTAAAAGTGGTTGTGTTGAAAATATTTTTAATTTAATATTCAACATAAATTATTACAAATTAATTTGCATGCTTGCTTTATGAGCCGGGTGATGGTTGTGCAGTTAACCAGAGCTCTGGGAAACGGGTATCTGTTGCTGCGTTGGAGATGTAACCCGGAAATTATTTGAAGCTGGAGGTAAACCCTGCCAGGAAATGCTGCTGTCATAATCAAACAGATGAAAATACGGAATAAGCTCACTGAAACGGCCCTTACAGGGAAAGGTAATTTAGTAGTTACTGGACAACTGGGCAGCTTTAAAACTACTGCTTCTGTGGTGTTGTTTTATACAAGTCAGCTTTAAAGCTGCTAGGGGAGCAGGCCAACAGCTAGCGGGCTAGCTGTAGCATTGTGGCTGGCTGTGGGTGCCATAGCAACCGTTTAGGAAACACTGGCAGTAGTGGCTAGCTCGTTAGGCTAGCGTTGGTTTGTTATGCTAGCGTTAAACACGACGCCGAGGAGTGTCCAAGTCAGCCCTAGTTAATTATTGTCACAAGTCAGCGCTATCTACTCGCATCGCCGCGCATGTTACTTAATTCCAACTTTGCTCCGTGCTTTCTAGCAAGCTGTCGGTGATGGCACACCGCCGTAACGTTAAAGTGTTAAGTTTAGCTAACTTGGCCAACGGTAATTTCCATCACATGCAGTAGGCTAACGTTAGCCGCCAAGGCCGTAAACTTAGGTTACCTCAACGCCACCGTTATGTAAACGTTTGCACCGTTTTTTGTCGTTTATTGTCTCAATTTCCGATTTAATCTTTCTCATGTTAGATTAGCGCAACTTTAAGTCACTTTAGCAGCGTTGTCATCGCTCACCTCAATTGTTAGGGAGTCTTATCTGGGGTTGGTAAGGTTAGGTACGATGCTGAGATTAGCTGCTAGTTAATTATTTTTTTTGCACGATTGATCTTATTGATAGCAACAGACACGGATTTGATTTGATTTTTTAAATTGTTGTTGTTATAAATGAATGGCCGTTCTTGCGCCGCAACAACAAATTAACGATATTACGTCTTAGTTAGAAAATTAAATGTAAGCGTTTATTTAGTTTTTTATCCCTTTGTTAATTGAAAGGGGTGTAGTCTAACGTGCTGTTTACAATCTAAGCCACACCACAATTACTTGATTTCAGAAAATGTCACGTTCCGACCTCAACCTGCAATAATTCATGTTTAAAGAATTAAGCGATTGTAGACAAATGGTTAGGTTTGTGTGCGTGAAAGAGAATTTATGTTTGTCACAAATGTCATTTCAGTATTCAGTCTGAACTAGTATGGATGTTGATGACTGCAATGGACGGTCTTACATATCAGGTGCAGCTCTGATTTATTTAGTCACCCATATATACTTACCTTCTAAATTAGGCATGTTTTTTTTTAAATGATATATCTTATTTTGGTTCTTTTCTTGGCAGCAGGTAGTGGAGACTCTTCATTGGAAAGAGAGTTTTCTGGAGCTCTTGGAGGTCCAACAGTGAGCACCCCAAACAGCAAGGAAAACTCTCCCAGTCGCTCCCTCAGTGGTCAGTGAGAACTTATAGCATCTTCATTAGTTCCATCTATATGAAGCTTTTTATTCTCTCAGTATGATTGTCAAATTTTTATTTTCTAATCTAGATAAATATTTTTATAATCTTCTTTTTTCAGATTATGTTTATACATTAATAATATGAATTTTAAATTAACTTACTGGAGCAGCACTATTCACCCTACAGTGCTGGGGAAAGTATTTTACAGCATTGTGAACTACATCCCATGATTTCCCACTTACATGTTTAAGATCACCGAACAAAATTGAAATATAATCCAAGCAAATACATTATATAACATATATAACTGCAATCAAGCATTTGTGATAACTAGCAGTGATTCTTTCACATTGCTGTGGAGGAATTTTGGCTCACACATCTTTGGAGAATTGTTTTCAAAATGTTTTGAAAACACTGTTGGGTTTTCAAACATAAATGACCTGTTTAAGATCATGCCAAAGCATCTCAATCTGATTTAAGTCCGGATACTGACTAGGCCACTCCAAAATCTTTTTTTATTTTTAGCCAGTCTGAAGTAGGCTTGCTGGTGTGTTTCCGATTATTGTTTTGCTGTATAACACAAATGCTCTTGTACTTCTGTAGCCAACTCCATTAAAGTGGAGTTGTATAGTGATGAAGACCCAGGTCGGAGTACTGAAGATGAGCGAGGAGAGCGGGTGGAGGAAGGAGGTCCAGAGCAAGGTTCTGAGGCTGTCACAAGCTATAGAGAGCTCACCAATTCTGAAACTATGCCAAGTGGAGCCACCAGACTGCCAAATGGAAAGCTCAAGTGTGACATCTGTGGAATGATCTGCATTGGGCCTAATGTGCTTATGGTGCACAAACGCAGCCACACAGGTGATCAGTCAGTTGAGTTTGGATAAATATAGAGATGGTATCTTTGCTTGTTATTAATGAAACTAGGTCAGATGAGGGGGGGGACATCTTGGAATTTTATAGAAAATCAGCATTGTATACAATTGATGTACTATATTGACTTAAAAAAAAACCTTTGAGGTATAGTTGCAACTAACTCAAATTTTTTGAAATAGAAATTATGCTTAAGAGGTTGAGTTACCAAGTTTAAGTTTTCTACAGGTGAGCGACCATTTCAGTGTAATCAGTGTGGCGCGTCCTTCACTCAAAAGGGAAACCTACTCCGCCACATCAAGCTGCACTCAGGGGAGAAGCCCTTTAAATGTCCCTTCTGCAGCTATGCCTGTCGAAGACGGGATGCACTTACCGGCCATCTTCGCACTCATGCAGGTAGGACAGATTCAAGCCTGGTAGGTGTTTGTGTGTTGTTTGCTTCAGTTTTTTTTTCCATTGTAGTGTACAATAACAGTGAAAATGCCGTATTTCCACTTGTTTTACCAGTGTCTTCTCCAACTGTTGGGAAGCCGTATAAGTGCAGCTATTGTGGCCGTAGTTACAAGCAGCAAAGCACTCTGGAGGAGCACCGTGAGCGCTGTCATAGCTATTTACAGAGTCTGGATTTCCAGCAGCCAACCAGTGCACCAAATTCAGGTATGTGTTCATAGATATAACTTGCACAGTATGGTGTTAAAGAAATACCAGCCTCCTAAAGGGAGTGTAGTAGCATCTAATGTAGACATGTAGTTTGCCAGCTTAGCAAGTTAACGCTTAGAACCCACTTTATCCAAACCGGAATTTAGGCAAACACAAATAGAAAATCCTAAAATAAAAGTAATAATAGTTTGTTTATACTCTGTACAGGAGAGGAAATGAGAGAGCTAGAGTTTATACCAGATCCTCTACTGCAGCCATCCTCAGACAAGATGGCATTTATCGATCGGCTCGCCAACAGCATCACCAAACGCAAGAGATCCACGCCACAAAAATTTGTAGGTGAGCATTTGGTCTCAGTGTGGACGGTTTCAGGAAACTCAGAAAGCAATAATCATTACTTGAATTGGAATACAGCATGAAGTAAGACAGAAATCTTTTGTTGTGCTTATATTACCAGCCACTATAATTTTAGATATCCAATTAGCACACAGTATTTATTTGGTTAGGAAAGGTCTGAAAGCTGCTCTCAGTATAGCAATCTAACTGAAAAAAGAAACACACAAGGAAAAAACTAAGTTTTGAGCATCTTGTAAAATTAGGAAAATAACCAGCATCATCGTAAAATAGAGAATGTATCCAAAATGCTGACTGTCATTGTACTGTATTATAAAGTCATATCTTTCTGTGTTGCAGGGCAGAAGCACATACGCCTCAACCTTGCAGATACACCTTACGAGCTCACTGCTAGTTTGGATAAAGATGGAGACATGCACCCAGTGGACCTTGATGCCCCACACTTTACTGGTCTGGGAGGAGAATATGTAGGTGTTGCAGGTACTGGAAGAGGACGGGTATCAGACACACTCAGATCCTTGCACCTTCCCACCAGTCACTCTTCAAGTTTATCAGAACTCAGGCCGATTCACAGCTTCAGTCATGCTCCTGTTCCCCTTGGGCCAAGGTTAGATTGCACAGGGGCAGGAGCTGGCCTGGGAGCTGTGGGTGTTGGGAGCAGGGAGGCAGCAGAGGGTCACGAAGACCTGCCTCCGGGTCGAAATCACGCCCCTTCTCCTAGCAATGGCTGCCAGGATTCTACGGACACAGAAAGCATGGCAGATGAGCCTTACAACAGCTGTGCTCCGACTCCGACTTTGTACAGTAACAACGGCCATCACCTCCTCCACTCTAACAACCATAACCCAGCACCTCCACCCATTGCACACCACAGGAGTCGGGGCAGACACAGCCCCAGTCATGCCAAAGACCGGGAGATGAAAAGAGAGGATGGAGGCCATTCTGCTCTCCCTCCTCCCACACATGCTCCAACACCGAGCTCACCTACGGCACCCTCTTCTACCTCCAAGGAGACTTTTCGGGTTGTAGACGGGGAGGGGCGAGCTGTGCGCTCTTTCCGCTGCGAGCACTGCCGCGTGCTTTTCCTGGACCATGTTATGTTTACAATCCACATGGGTTGCCATGGTTTTCGGCAGCCTTTTGAGTGCAACATCTGTGGCCATCGCAGCCAGGATCGCTATGAATTTTCTTCGCACATTGTCCGTGGAGAGCACATCTTTGACTGAGAATAAAAGGACAGCCTGCTGCCCTTAGTTTTTTTTAAATTTTTTTATTTTACACTGAGAATGGGAACTGGTTGAGTTTGGTCTGCACAAAAGCGAAAGGCATCTGTGATGATGTGAAACTGATGTTCCTAACGACACCGACACAGTTGGCATTAGTGGAAAGCTCGTGTATATGTTTAAAGAATTAGACTAGTAGTTGCTTTCTGTCCACTTTTAACAAGAAATCTATATTAAATTATTAAAGTAGATGAAGAGCCAACACTTTTTCATCCACAGATGTGCCTTGCTCTAAAATTCAGAATTTTAGCTCTGCTGCACACATTATTGTAGACAAATCTGACTTTTGTTGCTGAAATCTTTCACCCCTTGCACACTTTAGCAGAGATGAAAGAAAATGCTAAATATAAAGTTTGTAGGCTTGCAATCCCTACAGAATTTTTTTGACACCTTCTAAAAGCACTTTTTCCAATTAAGTGATTCTCAAACAGACTTTAGGTTCGGCCAGGTTTTTTCCTAGCCCGGGGTTGATTCTGTACAAGTTTTATAATGCAAAGTAAAGTGCAGACCAAACTTAAAAACCAAGTCCAAGTCATGTAGACTTTAATGTTTGAGGGTTTGTCATTGGAATAGAAATGCACTTTGGTTTCAGTGTGAATGGAGTGAACAGAGTGTGTGTGTGTCTGAGAGAAAGGAAAGCTGCAAGATTGTGTGTGATTGTTTTTGAAAGTAAATTTAAAACGTAAAATGGAAAATGAAGGCCTTTATTCCTGTGAGTGAATGCCGTGTTGGAAGTGTATGAATTGTTTTCCTTTTCTATAACTGCTTTTGTTGCACTGATACCTGCCAGAATACAATGACTATATTAAACTATTTTATAGAATACATTAATGACCTGCACATTTCTCTGAAAATGTGAGGAAAAACAGGTGGAATGTTTTTCTCACTAGGAACAGGATTCGAGCATCACTGCCACAACTTGAGAGATTACCGAAGGAGGTTAAGGTGTTTGTTTTCTCCCCGTACAAAAACTCCCTCATATGGCAAACCAACAATAATAATCAACAAATCTGCTTATGTTGTATTTAAACATGATTTTGGTGTTGCGTCATTGTCCCGTGCCTTTCTACACGTTTCTGACCAGACTGAAGGATGTGAGATATAAGATCATTTCTGTCTTGTAGTTTGACTGTAGCTTTTTAATCTATCTAACAGAAGTCTGGCTCCCCCCACCACCCCCAACAGTTTTATCAGCAAAGATCAATTCTGATGCCTGAGCAATGTTGATGATGATGAAATGTGCATGGCTTTTGAAACATGCTGCTATGACATGGGTGTGCAGTAAATCAGTAGCACTTCACTACCGTCCTCATGGGTTAGAAACAAAGACTTTTATTTACATTTTTTTCCTGTTA